AAGTTCGATACTTGAGAAGCATCCATTGCATTTCTTTATACTGGTTCTATTTCATTTTTTCCATTTTCTGTATAGATCCAAAAATGACCAAACGAATGCTGCGGACTTGTTGGAACAGAATTGTCACTTTCTGTTACTGATTTTGTATTTTGCTGCTTCGAACAAGTGTTCTCCCCCAAGGTTTTTCATCCCCTCTAATATTAAAGGGGAAAATTCTCATGACTGATGTTTAATCCCAGCAAGACAGAAAGCTTTAGGATTAAAATGTGTAATTCCAAGTTGTAGATGGCTAGCATACAAGAACACAAAGTTGAGTCTGTCTGTTTACTGGCTTACTCATCTTTTTGAATGATAATTTAGACTTCCAACTGTTTTGAGTTGAGATTCAGCCCTTTAATTACATATGTTTATGTATAGTAGCAAACTTGAAGACATTATGGTAGAGTGTTCTCTACTCTTGGTAATGACCCAACTATCACTCGAGCGTTTGGAGCCAGCTCTCAGTAGCCTGTTTCACTCGTTCTTCTGTGCTTTTGTAGTTTCCAAACTATTCTCTCTGTCTAAAACTACTACGTTTTTTCCAGTAATTAGTAGAAAAATATTTTGGTAATTAACAGTAACTGTGTATTACAGCACTTATTCATCTTAATAGAATTTTTTTTGTTCCTAGCTGTAGGTGAAAGACATTCACAACCAAGTTTTTGTTCGTGTTGCAATCATGACAGGAATATTGTTTATTCCATACTTTTGTATACAGCAGCACATGAAGGGTGTGGGTGTTCTAAATATCAGCAGACTTCAGTTACTTTTTATCTACTTGAGAAAGTTGGGTAGCACAGCACTTTCAGAAATATATTGATCCTCTACTTCTTTCCAAAACTCTTTAATTCAGAAGAGAAAGATACAAACATTTAACCTTCCACAAGGAAATTAAATCTTAAGCCACTTTTAACAGAATATTAAAAAAGCACATGAAATTTTGCTAGATTTTATTTTTCAATAACATCTTTCAGTGATAGTGAAATGGCTTTTTTTTTTTTCTTTAATGTTTTCACTGCCATTTTCAATTGCTAAGGTATTTTTTATTACCTTTAATTGATTTAGTTAATCATCTGTAATGAAAACTCGGAGACTAAATAGTCTTTGGTCGTTACAAAGCTTATTATATGAATCCATATGTTTTGTTCTTGTTAATAATGTACATTGACTTTGAGGACTGTCTGAAAAAATTAATATAGGTAGTACCAATAATACCTCTATATATTAGATACAGATTTACGTAATGTACATACTAGTATATATAATACATTTATTATTCTAGATATAGTATACTATATATATAGGTAAAGACCATATGATAGATAGCATTTGGACATAGGCAAGCTTAATTTTGTTAGTTCCAGTTTTTGCATGCTTGAGTAATGCCATGTGACTATCTGCACTTTTGTATGTATTTGCAATTAGAAAATGAATGGAGAAATTAAATATCTTCGGTTCCATTACAGGCACTGGAGAGGATGTGCTTTTTAATTGGTACAGATTTCTCTGCAGGTCTCTGAACCTTTTTGCTTTCAGATTGTCCTAACACAGTCACCTCACTTTTCTGTCCCTGGCAGCTTCATTTACCTTCCTTCTCCTGAACTAGCTACTCTAGTTTAGCTATACTCTAGCTCTCCCGCAAGTTTTTCATTGTCACACAGGTTCCAGTCTTTTTCCTGTCCCATTTCCATTCTTCTCCCTTTATTCCCTAGTCTTTTCTTCCTGACATCTCTTCTGTAAATAACTCGCTGTATGCCATCTTTCTGTGTTGGATTTTGTCTCGACAAGGTTAGTTTCTTTTTCATATTGTCTGAGGAATGAGATGAGGCATTATGAATATAAGAGCAAGAGCTTTCCATTTAGCAGGTGTAGTGGCAAGAGATAGCTGTAGCCTCTGGATTACACTCAGTGCATAGATTTTCAATGATTTTATGCTTTAGTAATTGTTATTGTAGTTTTTTACCCTCCTCCCACTGCACTCTTATCTCTCCCACATGTAGTGTGGCCAGATGCCTTACATTTTCACAGGAATACTAAAAGGATATCAAAGGTCTTGGTTTGCCAAGTTTTAAGTCTCATCTCCAAAAAGTAGTATTTTCCAGCAGTGTGCAGCTTTAGGCAGACACCCAGCAAAGAAAATTTCAGCCTACATGATTGAAGTGTGATAGGATTAAAGATGAGAGGATGGTTTTGTCAGGAATAAGATGAGATAATCTTAGAGCAGACAATGCTTCTAGTCTCTTCTGTTATGAAGGTAGCCCAACACATTCCTTAGAGCTACATCTGAGGAAGGTAAGAAAACAAATAGCCTGTTAGCTGTAGCCTCACTGTCATCGTGATCATAACATGGATTTCAACCATATACCTGAAGGTGAGGGTTTCTTTGATCTCATGGGTAATACTTCCACCTAGCTACAAGCCTGGTTAAGTACCCTAAGCAGCTCTACTTCATCATGCTCCCTCCCCAAGTTCCCATCATCTGCTTCTGTCCTCCCCGTTGCTCCTCCAGCTTTTGTGTTAAATTCCCTCTTTCTGTGTCCATCCCACTGTAGCTCTTTCCTCTAAATGTTGAGGATGGTTCTCATCTCATCTGACCTAGCTGAGTTTATAAAAGCAGTCAGGTTGGTACTGTTTCTCTTTGGAGACTCCACAGTGTATGCAGGTTTGTTAAATGTAATGTCATCTCCTTGACTAGTGAGCAGTCTAACTTACATAATGTTTTATAGATGTATGGTGAATATATGGGTTTGTGCATCAAAGAAAACACACCTGCATAGTGCAATAGTTACTTTATTCCTCTTTCATTTCGTATACACGTATCTGTCAAGCTTCTGAGGTGTTCTGTGAAACTGCAGAAAAAAATCCTATCAACAGACATATCCACTTCCACTCTGCTTTTTCAAATAAAAAAAGTTCAGTATTGAATGAAAGTTCTTAAATCAAGACGTCTTCACGAAGACCCCTGTGATATCAGTTTTCCTGCCTGTATTAAGGATGGTTCAGTACAAGTAAGTCTGCTGATACTTGCTGTGGGTTTATATCATGGAGACAGAGGCCATTTCTTAGATAATTCTGTTCTAAATTGTTTAGGTGTTCAGGCATACAATTCAATGTCTTGAACTAAGGCTTTAAGCTCATTATGAGCTAGTAATAATAAAGAGAATTGATTTCATGTATTTTCAGTATGAAGCTGCATTTCAGAAGGTCAAGTATGAGTATGCATCTTGTACAATTAACACCTGCAACAAAGGCATAAGGGAGAAAGCAAAAGCAGAGTAGAGGGTACTTACGTGTGTTGGGTGTTTAGAAATTTGATGGGTCTGATGCAGTTCCTTGGAGAATATTTAAAACGCATTCCTGCAAAATTGTGGATGATAGTTGAGGTTTCAGGACCCTGAATTTGTGAAGAAAAAATATGTTAAGCCAGTATAATTTATTTCTGTGAAAGAATATCATGCCTTGTAAAGCGGTACATATTATGTCCCATGACTTTTATAAAGTGTTGCCATTAACTGGAATAAATAAAATGTAAATTGCCAAGAATAAGTGCAAGGTTTTATGCTAAAGAACAGTCAACTACATCAGTAGAAGGTGTGGGTCAACTGGTAGGTAGTAGCTTTACCAAAAGGAAGTTACAGCATATTGTAAGTGAACAGGAAGTCTGTTGCCGTATTTATTATTGATTGATTTATTGACATGATGAATCATTTTAGATCACACATTTGATCTGGGTGAGCTTAGAACAAGTGCTAACATTCCAGAACATGAGATGTGATGTTTGTGTCTGTTTCATGGTAGCTGCAGGAAAACAAATTACACTTTTGACAAAGTAACCATAACTTCACAAAAATGTTTAAATATATTTACATGAATAAAGAGTTCTAGTAGGTCCGTGTTTTGCAGATGTAATGTTTAGTGCAGTATGCTACATCGTAAAATGTAATACACAGTCTCATTGAACCACTGCCTGAGTTACTAGTGCTGTGGTTTTGTGACAAAGGAGTAATAGGCAGTCTACTGTATGTCTAAAATTGTGTAACCAGGAAGATTTTAGATCTGAAAGCACAACCTGTGAGGACAGATTGGCTGAACTGTTTTAGGCCAAAGAAAACTGAAGAGAGATAAAACACTGTTCAAATGTCTAAAAGGGGTAGCTGCTGAAGAGAAATTAGGCAATAGGGCAAGAAACAATACACTTAAATTATAGGAACAGTTGCATTAAATGCTAGGGACAATCTTCCAACTAGAAAAATAATTATTTTCCTTATAGTTGGATGGAATAGTTTGCTTACAGAGGTTTTGAAATGACTATTTCAAAATTTTCAGGGATTGTAGAAAGAGTTTAAATACTTGTGAGGAAAAGCATAGGTAGACCTGATTCTGCCCAGAGGCACAAAGAGAACTAGATGATTTCCTGGGTCAGCCCCACTATGGGTATGTGTGAGGTTGTTCTATATTTAATAATAAGTCTAATTCCAACATCTGAATTTTCTCAGATAGTATATTTAACAATAAATCTAATCCTGAAGTGACAGTAGCGTGGGTAATTGTGGCATGGTTACCACTGAAGGGAAAATGTCATATTCCTCCTGCCAGGTACAGATGGAAAAATCTGCCTGTGGCTACTGCTGTTACCTTGGCATACTAGAGCAATCCGGGATCAAATACTCTTCTTACCCTCATAACACAGACCTATTTTGCAAATGGAGATTGCACTCTTTGTATGGGCAACAATACAAGTTCCATCAGTTCCTCTGACTGCTTTCTTCACTTTGTGATTATTACCTGCTACCTTTTGTTCAAGCCCATGGTTATATTGCCATTCTGTATTTCCGTATATGTGCTGGATACATGCTGGAAAGGTATACGTAAGCTACATATGTTTTGTCTAAGTAATTTTATTCGCTCTTTACCTGTTAACTGGCAGTGTATAAAAGTGGCAATGTCATGTATTTCTCTAGAATGTCAACTAATGAAAACAGAGCGACCAAAGCCAAACACATTCATTATCAGATGTCTTCAGTGGACCACTGTCATAGAGAGGACGTTCCATGTAGACACTCCGGAGGAACGGTGAGGGTTTTATTTTTTTTTTTGCTTTCTGTGTGCTTTACACAGAAGCCTCAGAACAATCACTGCTGGGACTGCATAGTGATCAGCACTCGGAACTGTGACATTGAGCGCATCTGAACAGTTACTTGAAGAATTTATAAGTCAACTTCTGTAAAATATTATCTGAGCTCATAACTAGTGCTGCCTGTGAGTAGGTGGGATGAGTGTGTTCAGATAAGCCAAAACTATGTCATGATACGTCGCTGAAGTGTTAAATTTTGAAAAATGGAAGCCTGCATTGAAGTATTTTCCAGCCTCGCTGTCTTAAATTTTCCTTTTACTCCTCCTAATACGCTTCTTTTTTTTTAACACAGAAAGCAGTATGTATTTTATAATTCACATTTACTTGTTAGTTTTTCTTGTTTCAGTAAACATAAGCAAACTTAAGAATTAATGTTTTATAACGCACCAAAAACATGTAGGAGATACGGGATGGTGTACCTTTCTAAAATGTTCTATACTGTGTCTCTGGTTAGATGCACTGATCCTACTGTGGGCATCTGTCCTGTTGAGACTAATACTATGATTTGGCTTTATTCATATTGTTTGTATCAATAAATAACCAACGACTTTGCTTTTTCTGTTGTTTCTCATTCATTAGTACAGTCACTTAGAATTTTTTTTTTTTATGCTACCTTGGTACTGTTTATCCACCCTATCTTTCTTCTGTGTGTGCAGCCTCGTACATCCTGCTGCATTCAGTAATACCACCAGACTCCTCCCGTATCCCTTGCTGGCTGAGCAAAAAGCAGCAGGTACCACGCTTGGTGCGGGGCTGTGGTGTGAGGATGGGCTGGCTGGTGTGTCTGTACTGGTTAGCCAGCACGCAGAATAGCCACGGGCTCAGCTGCCCCTGCTTGTCCCTCCACGGAAACCCTCACCTGGGCCTGACCCTCCGTGCGGCTGCTGGGTTTTGTGAGGCCTGCAGGAATTTAATTATCTTTCAGGGCCTCTTTCTCAGGGGGAATTTGAAATTAGCCAACAAGTTGAGCTTTAAGAGGACACAGACAGCGAGTTGAGCACACTGTGTGATTTAATAAATCTTATTTATTTTCTGTGAAAATGTTTTGCAGGGAGGGGGAATACCAAAAACTCTGTTAAAATAGCAAGTTATTGTCAGATAGTATTGGATAGGAGATGACATTCTATGATCTGAGCTGTATTATGTGTGGAGCAAGTGTTTTCAAGTTTTCACTATTAAAATATTTACAAAACCAGACACTGATAATTCTTGAAATTAACTGTGCAGTGATCCTTTCTGATGCTGGTCAACTTCACCACCTTTAACGTAATGTGGAATTTGGGAGGAAATTCATTAATTTATACAAGTCTTCTACTGTGGAACATGAGAATTGAATAATGAAGCAATGTAGCATATGAAAAACATTATAAACCATTTATTTGGATGCATTTTATGAGTTTCTAATGGGGATCTTGGCTTATTCATGACAGGGAAGAATGGACAGAAGCAATCCAGGCTGTAGCAGACAGACTTCAGAGGCAAGAAGAGGAGAGGATGAACTGTAGTCCAACTTCACAGATAGACAATATAGGAGAAGAAGAGATGGATGCGTCAACAACCCATCATAAAAGAAAGGTAATGACATTAAAAAATAACTGACAAAGCTGTATGTAAATAACTTTTGTAGAATGGTCTAGTTAGGTAAAATCATATACAGGGAATAGTATTTCTACATAAATGACAGTGTATTGCAAGCATAAGAGTACATATTTGGTTTATTTCAGTAAAGCTGAACTGCTCTTACTGTATTTATTTGTTATGCTACCTGATATAGCACTTCTGAAAAACACAGTTCAGCCATTCAGGCACATGTTAACATTCTGCTTATTGTTTGAATATTATTTTCATCTTTTCCTTTTTGTTTGTTTACTCTTTTAGAAGTATGGTAATAAAATATTTTCTTTAGACAAGTAGATTTGCCCCTTTTCTCATGCAAATAATACCCAGTACGAATTAGATAATTTGCATGAGAAAGGCTAGCAGGATTTGGCTTCTAATGACCTTGTATTTTTCTATCTGGGAAAATAACTCTGCTTCAGTTTTCAATGAAGTAAGAGAAAACAATGTTTTATTTCTTTGCAGTCCTTCACAGGTTTTGGTGTAAGTAGGGATATGACAATTGTTGGCTATAACACACAACTAAGAGCATGTTTTAAAGATTCGATTCCACACAAAAAGTTGCTTATTATTTTGGGTTTCCATTTTGTCCTGTGTTTCTGTAAGTATGGACTGCTCTTGAAGAATGGATTATTCAAACGGATGTGTCTCATTTGCTATATAGGATTAACATGACTCAAGAAATGCATTGAAATTGCATGAGAAATAATAACCTGTTTCTACAGGACTGACTACATTCTTCCTAGCTAGAAGTGAAACCTGGAGAAAACTAAGTGGAAGTCTGCTGACAGAGCAAAATAGTCTTACAGCTAATGTAACTGAATGCCTTTGAGTGAGGAACAATGGAAAGAAATAGTGAATGTGTGCCTTTGCTCACAGAGCATGTTTTGTTTGTTGTACTATATGAAGCAAGAATCATAGAAAAATGGCTGGCTGAAAACTGTACCCTTATGAATATAACAAAGGTGTTATAGGAAATCTTAGTTCTATTATGTCCTAACTTTTGAGAACTTGAGTTTGCAGTGCAAACATAGTTCTTTCCTGTTGTTTCAGTGTATGCAATTTTCTATCCTTTTTCCGCTAATTATGTATACAGCTGTAACAAAACTCTCACCGTACACTGTCAGGTTGACACTGAGCTTCTCGCCTTGTGGCATAGATGTTTAATGATTGTGCTCCAGGGTAAAATATGATAAGTGACAGCAAGACAGAGGCAGCATTTGAGATGTGTCAGTCTTTCTGAGAGGCAGTGAGATTATGGGGAAGGGATTTGGGTTTGCTCTATTAAAGATACGAGCACTGTTCCAAGCCTATGTATCCTCTCAGTGGAGTACAAAACCACTGCATAACAGCAAGCACTTTCAAGGTGTCAAAATTAATGCTGTGTAATATAAGTAGTTTATGTGGAATGTACACTTTCCTTGTTCACAGTGCAGTGCATTTTCCCGTACAACAGAAGGGGTTGTGGGAACAGGAGGAGGAGGAGGATCAGTTTTGTTTCTGTCTTGCTGCTTACACTTTAAGAAATGCTGAAATAAGATGCTGGGACAGTGACTGTGCAGTGCTGCAGAATACTTAATGGATTTGGCAACATGCCAAAGGCAACCTCTACAAAACAAAGGTGAAGCAAAAAATGGTGATATCCAATACCTAGTAATAGAGAGCAGAATGGAGTTTTTGTAGCTAGTGAAGAGCATACCGATGACTGCGAGAATTTTTTTTTTTTTTTTTTTCCCCAAAACTCAAAATCCCACTGCAGATTTCTGACTGTTGGAATACTTTAGTGAAAGGTTCTCAGAAGTTTCTGGAATCAAAAATTTTAAGTGACGATAGTGATGGGGAGGTGTCACTCCCTTTGTGTTAATTAAAATTGGGAAATATATATTTTTTTAGAACTGTTTCTGTTTTGTAGAAATGTTTCTGAAAAGCTTCTGTTTAAGCTGTTATGGTTGTTAATATAATCAGAACCATTTCAGTTATAATGACTTAATGCATTTTTATTGCTTTTTTTGGTATTGGATTTCTTTTCTTTTCAGGGATTTTTTGCACAATGTGTCCAACAAGCTTGTTTTGTCACCTGATTTTACATCTAAGCCCAGTGAATTTTGCTTGTGCATGCACCAGATGGTATACATATGAGTAGAAGAGCATAATCAGATTAAGAAACAAGACAGAGAGGAGTGGGCCTGTTCTCTAAAAAGGTAGCAAAAGGTTTACAAAGAAAACAGTCTTTAGGATGTGGAACTTGATTTGAACAGACATGACAGCAACGTCCCTGGCCAGATTAGCTGGAAGAACCAAAAGCACTTTTTTTTTTTTTTTTTTTTCTTTCAGTTTTTTTTAATGGTGTCAGTGTGCCACTTAAGTTTTACAGTAATAGCATCACTAAAATTCAGAGCCCTAGAAATTCTTAACAAGCTGCTTTTATTTCTTGGTGTGCTATTCCTCATAAGTAGAGTTTCTTCCTGATTAAGTCAGATGAAAACTCTAATCTTTGTGCAAATCAGAAATTTTTAAAAATTAGTTCCTTAGTAGGAATTTTCAGAACCTGTAGTAAGATGTATTATTTAGAACAGATCATCCTTAGGGGAGTAAATAGGCTTTACAGGTGGCTGAACATGATATGGTTCTTTGGTTAGTGCAGTTTCCTGTAGCTTCATTGCTTTTTCCTTTGTTTACAAATTTGTTTTGCAGGGTGCAGGATGAGTAAAGAGTAGATTTTTCAGAGGAAACCAAAAAGGAATATAATGAGGAAAAGGATTCAATCCTCAGAGTTTGGTAGGAATGAAAAAGGTGGGGAAATTATCAAGGAGAAAGAATCCAATCTTATGGGAGCCTCCAAACTTGCTTACCAACATCCCTCAGGTTTAGGAAGTATTTCCATTTTTCCACCAGTTTTCAGTACACCCTTAGCTATGGCATCTGTGTTTTTATCTCCCAAGGTCTTGTGTTCTTTGGCAGACTTTTTGAGTTACCCTGCACTGCGTATCATCTCTAAGCCTTCTGCTGAGCTTTTAAGGATTGAGAGCATCAGGAGACTTTATTCTTAGAACTAGCACTACCACCATAACCTGCTGTTAAGCCACAGCTCAAAAAAGTCCCTATTACCTTCCTCTTATAAATATACATATATTTTTTAACTTGTTTTCACTGAGCTTGCAGCTAGATTCATGACTGCTTTGATGAACATTATGTAAGCAAGTTTGGGGCGAATGAGTCTTTCAATTTGATTGGCTTGCTGCCCCTAGCATCAAACCCATGTCTGTGATCAGTTGTGCCAAGATCCTCCTTCTGTGTGCGGGCAAAGGGTTGCTTCTCTGAGCTGGTTTTATTCAGCCTTTGATGGTCCCTTTCTAACTCCAGCCTCTCAAAGAAGATCAAAAGTAGGGGAAAAAGTTACCCCTTTGAGGCTGCTTATGATCCCATCAATTTTTGACTGTTCGTAGTGATAAGTTGTTGCGGTCACTAACTCAGTAGTCTTTACCAATAAAGCCATTTAGTAAAATGCCATTGGTAAAGCCATTTATTGGTAAAGAGTATTAATTAGTTAGCCATTCTTTGTCAGGAAACATGATATCTTATGACTGAAGGTACAGTGGATTCTGAGTGGATTCTGCCTTGAATTACTTCTTCTGCCTGAATTGTGTTCTGAATGCATTTTGGTTTTTTTCATGCGTTTTTGTCAATTTCCACTGCTTTAGCACAAAGACAGTTGTTTTGCTTGATGGTTATCATAGAACTATTGAAGTAGATAATGTGACTTTCCAGAGTGCTGACTGTGATATTTGAGAAGTCTTACCTTTAGTTGGTTATGTACCAGTAGCCACATAGTGTTTGGATCACCATGTTACATACTGCATCACGCATCACTAGTTTTAACACATTATGCTAGTTTTTGGAAAAGTTCACCATTAAAGTTTATGACCACAGACAAATCCTTAAACTTTACACTCACTTGTGTGAAGTGAGTTTGCTTCAGGTAAAAACTGTAATGAGCCTTTGAAATATCTGTTACCCATATTTCTCACTGGGATAAATGCAGTTTTGTTCTTCCTGATGTGAGGTGGTTTTGGCAGCAAAACAAGATCTGTCACTGCAAAATGTTTAAGTATATTTACATGTGAGCAAAGAAGGGAATTCATCAAGGTTAGTTTGCTTACAAGCTAACCAGTCAACCATTATGTGGGAAAAAGATTTAATTCCTGCTGATATAGCTAGAAAATTGGTCTACGGAAAGCATCTTCTCTTTAATAAAGTGTTGATATATTCAGCTATCCAGGTGTTACTTTAAGTAGTCTGTCGGAGACTTTTTGCAGCCTTTAAATTTCAGGTTGAACACTTAAAAGCTAAGGAATGACAGCATTAATGTCGTTGATGGAACTTCAATTCTACCCCTTATGCGAGCAGATTTCAAACTGACTCTGAGTGAGCAATTGCATAAATTATTTTCACAGTTTGTCAACAGCAGCTTCAGATCCACAGTAATAGTATCGTGTACTTGAGCTTAAAGGAATAATTTCAGAAGAAAATTTTGCCCTTTATCCTTTCTCACAAGAGAGAATATATTTTGCTGACACTGTTTGTGATTGCACACCAGGGATATGCCCAATAGCTCTACACTTGGAATGTGAGATATGTAGGCACTGTTAGAGGTGTTTCTGGGAAGGATAAGGAAAGTACTAATTCCACTGTGGAAGACACAAGTAGAAGTTTATCTGGAATGCCAGTATTCAGGAAAACTACCTGAGGCTGCAACTAATGATGGAAAGAGACATGAGGAAGATGAAAAATAAGGCACAATCTTTTCCTCATGCATAACAGGATTAAGTATATTTAATGTAGCAAAACTGAGACTCAGAGTACAATTACTCTTTATAAATGTTTTGAGGTGGATTATTCACAAGGGAAGGAACATTATTGATACTGCAGGATAGTACTGTAACAATGTGTTGTTTTTCAGAGCTTTTAACTGCTTTCTTCAAGGTTCCTGGGTGCCCTAATGGTTTGTGTGTGGTTATGTGGTGCTGCAAGCAAGCCAGTAACACTGTGCTGAAAGATGTGCTGTGGAAATGCTCGGTGGAAGCCAGCGGTTGGCCTCGAGTTGGCCAAAGACATGTATATCTTAATCCAAGGTGACCCTGTGTGGTCACTGCATTCTCAGTATTGTGCTGTTTCTTTCTACATCCTCATCTTTGCATCTAATGCATAGACCATAGTGTTGATGCTTCTGAACTGGCTGTGAAATGAACTTGCAGAACTAAGATGATTACTGACTCAAGCTTTGTCCTCATGAAAGTGCCTGAACTGCTTTGAGATCTGAGATCATCTGGTCATAATCTTTCCGTGTGTGACACTCCGGTTGAGTTGATAAACCTGCTAGATTCAAATTGTCTGTTGGTGGAACCAGCTCTTGGATGTACTACAGTTAACCTGCAACGCTAGGGTGGTACTAGATGCTTGAATGGTCACTATAATGGAGTCATATGAAAGAGAAAAACTTGCCACCTCTTCATTTACAGAGCCAGATTGATTAATGTAAAAACCATGTAATTGTAAACTGTACTGAAGTTTTTAAAAGTCCACTTCTAATGCCAAGACTGTTGTAGCATCTTACTGGTACAACGTAACAATGTGTTTCAGAAGAGCCATCAGTGCAGTGGTTGGTGTTAAGTAAAACCTATTGATATGCCACGTTCTTGTGTCCCTGGTAATACAGGAGTTGATGAGCTTTCTTAGATGTGGAGCATTCATGAAAAGCTGGTATAGGTTAAAACTTTGTTCTGTGTGTGCTTTGTAAAAATAAGTGTGTGTGTGTAGTATACTGTGTAGTACTTGACTTCAGAGAACTATAATAATACTATTGAACAATATATCCTAGTGGTTTAAGGATATAGTTAACTGTTATGAACTTAATCATAGAAGTGTACCTATTTTTGTAAACTTATTATACTGAAAACAGCACGTGGCTGTATGCGGACACACTAGTGTGCATGTTGGAACTGGATAGACTAAGTCTTGCTAATCCTTGGTCTTTGCTCCTTATAGACAATGAATGATTTTGACTATTTAAAACTACTGGGCAAAGGCACGTTTGGCAAAGTTATCCTGGTCCGAGAGAAGGCTAGTGGGAAATACTATGCTATGAAGATTTTGAAAAAAGAAGTCATTATTGCAAAGGTAAGGAAGGTTATAGTTTTAATATTGGACCATTTTTTTGGAATGGAATAATCAATATCTAATATGTAAGGTGTATTTGATTTTTGATGGTAGCTGAGTTTGATAGGAATATGTGTGTATCTTCAGAAAACAAGGATACAAAAAAAGTATGTGTACTCACTTTGCATGCCTTTTTCCAGTGTCTTATATTCTAGTGTGCTAAAGCATTGAGAGAGTTCATTGGGCAGGAAGATAATGCAATCCAAGTTTAAAAGAAGAGAAAGTGCTTTGTAGGGTATATTGTGTATTTGAAATATTTTTGTAAGTCAACTTCAGATTTATTCAGATAAATGCAATTAAATTAATGGGCTGATGCTCTGTTCCCACTATGTTAGCTAAGATTGCTGTACATGGGACTAACAATTTCATTTTTTTTCAGTTTTTGAGGAACAAGAAAAATCCGAAGCATGTTTGAAGAAGTGGTTTAAACTGGCTTTGTCCAATCACTTAAACTTGATTAGTTTAGTGTTACTAGCTCCTATGCTTGTTCAATAATTTTGATAATTTTAAACTTGAAGATCATCTACCCTGAGCTTTGTTTCTAAAAGTTCTGAAGTTTTGAATCCTACTTAAACAGAACAAGCTGAGAGCAAGAAACCTACATGCTCTTATCACCATGAGACATAATTAAAAATAACTCTAGTTATTAAGTAAGGAGGTTTTTGAGGGATGTTGATTTGACTGAGATTTTTGAATGCTTGAGGCTAACAATACCAGTATTCATAAAAACTGAACGTGGATGGGAACTACTGTGGTTTACATATATTTTATTCTAAAATACCATTCAGATTTTTCTGATTTTCCTATTGGCATATGAAAACAGGGCTTACAGAGTTTTGCAGTCTATAGCTATGTTTATTTGTCTATCTGTCACTCACTTTCTAATAACTTTTGAATGTGTTGATCAGTTTCGTTTACATTTGATAGAGGAGTAGAAACCTCAAAGACAATTACATTTCCTTGAATTTAATTAAAACCAGCTGTGGTGTAGGGGGAGACACTTAAACCTATGTCTTCAGCAGAGTCTCACCTGTGAGTTCTGCGTGCCCTTAGCAGCTGCTTTGCGTACACTGGCAGGCTAGTTGGCACGTATATTATTTGGACTAACAGCAACAGAGTGCCCTTTTCTTCTTCATAATCAGGAGATACAGAAAGAAAAGAGAGTTTTGCTGCTGCATTCTCCTGTTTATGCATGGGAAGGAGCATCTCAGTGGCCCTCTTTGTAGGATTTTGTATATGTCAGCAATCTTTGTGGGTTGCCCTGTGGCTCTCAGAGTCTATCTGGTTGCTGTACGCTGTGGCCCATTCTCCAGCCTGACATCCTTCCCAAGTGCTCTGCTCACCTGTGGCACCCAGGGGGTCCTCAGGAGAGTCTTACATCTGGCTGCTATGAGCTTCTGTTGTGCTGCTGCTCACTTATACCTTTCCAGCCTTCAGAGCATTTCAGCTTGTTTCTTTGTAGGAAAAAAATAGAAAACACATTTTTGAATTTTAGAGTTTTTCCTTTTACTTTTCTGGCTGCTACAATATCACTGAATTCTTAGAAGGGTTAAAACTGGTTCTTGGATAACTTTGTCTCTAAGCAAAAATTCATGTTCATAGAAGCATATGTAAAGCTAGAGAAACTTTGAAGAGATCAGGGGTGCAACTGTTCATTGATCTATTTACCTGAAAACAGAAATCTAGCTCAGTGGTAGATTGGGCAGAACCTGGCAGTCCCTGAAGCAGACGAGGATCTGTTTTTCTGCCTATTTTTACACTAGCAAGAAGATTAAGTGTGTGAGGAAAGATGCCTTTCATGCTGTGCTGAAAAAGGGAGCACCTCAGACTTTTAGATTTGACTCCCACAGAACTGGAATTTTTGTTTTAGTATGGTTGTATATTGATAAGAAACTTTGTATTGAAAGAATAAAAACTAAACTATGCTTAGGTCTTCACATGTGAAGTGATCATGTTTTTTTTCTCTATAGTCACCAAATACCAGTTTTTCCACTCCTCTCCAAACTAAAACCAAAAGCAGACTTGAGCCTGAACTTAGCTGACTAGCCCAGTCAGTGTGTAAGTACAGTATGGGGATTTATCAATAGCATTTACCTCTGGAGATCAGTGCTAAGGGTACTGTCACTAGATTTATCTGCAATCCCAACTCAGCCTATAATGTGATATAATATACACTATAGAAGGCTGTGCCTATAACAGTTACCATAATATGAAGCAAAAAGTGGTGCGTTGACAGCTGTATCTACAAGGTTGTATAGCATCTTCCCAGTTCAAACTAAATCTTTTGATCCTAAATTTTCATAACAGATTACTATTATACTTACCAGGAAATTACTACCGGTATTACAAGCTTCTGAGGCAATGCCAGAAAAACTGGCAATTGTCAGTTTTCTATGCCCCATATCTGGTGAACCACCGAGGTTGGTAAATAAATGAATAAATAGGCTTGCTTTTCTCCTTGAGGTACTTTTTGTTTTTCTCCCAGTATGTGGTTGTAGTGTATACGCTGTAGCACTATACACTGGTAGTCAGCTAAATGGCATCATAATTTATTACCACTAACTCTGCTGTTGCTTAAATTTCTATATTGATAATTTGAAAAGTTTAATTAAAAAGTCCTGACATCTATGTTTACTTTGTAGCTTAACAATACCTTATCTTCAGAGCGTAGTCTGATAAGCATGTGTAGTACAGTAATGTTATACTGATATTATTTGTAGCAATAATAAAGTATGCTCTGCCTAAATATATTTACTTCTACAGGATTATGTTGAAGTTTGAGTAGCACTAAGTTATTCTTTGGGTCTGGATAATATAATACTCAGTGGTAGTTTAGCACTACAGAAAATAGCTTAAACCCAGCCCAGTGGCTCTCAGGCTTTTTAGGTCTGGCCCCTGGCAGCGAAGATTCACAGCATGTATTACACACAGATTGCATTAAATGGCTGCGTGTTCATAACATGAACCACCGAAGTGCCCTGCTTTTCTCCCTAGTCCTCAGGATCTGCTCGCCATCGTAGCACAGGGTGAGGCCCTGTTCCCGCCATCGTTTCCCCCTCGCCCCTGCACAGCCCCTGCTCTCTGCAGCCCTGGTGGCGTGAGGGGCCATGGCCCTGCCCTTGGGGCCTCGCTGTCACCCCTCCAGGCTCCTCCTTGCTTCTGGGGGGATGGCGAGAGGGCCCGGGTTGTGGAGCGAGAGGGGGACGAGCGTGGGTGAGCTTCCCAGGGCACAAACACCCACGGAGGCAGGGTTAGTTTCTTTCTGTCGCTTTGGCACAGGGCTCGTTTTAATCTTCCTCGCTCAGGCTCACCGACAGGATAGTGCCGCTGTCTCTCCAAATTGCCCCTTTCTCAAAATCTGGCTGGAAATGGGGTGGGGGTTGTGTGGACATCTCCCACCTCCCGTGGAGGAGGTCTGTGTCCCTGGGGAAGGAGGTCGGGCCCGGTCCGAGGGGCACCGCTTGTCCAGCTCGTAAGGACAGCCCAGGCGGCTGAGGGAGGCGCAGCGTGGTGTTAGAGAAAAACGAGACAAACACCACAGAGTAAATGTTTAAAACCAGAAAAACTGGCTTTACTTAATATTACGCTAGATTAGACTAGGTTTTATAGTTGCCTGTCAGTTATTACCTGTGTACATTTCTTGCAAATGGATTCAATCCCCCTGTAGATATGTTACTTGGATGATTTGTACCAGAGATACAAAGTTGTGATGACTATATTTTTAAACTATGAAATCCAATGTTATTATTTCTTCCTTCTCTGCATTGGATATAAAGTTAAACACTTCATTTTGAAGCAAGAGTATAAAAAGAAGAAAACCAAATAAAATATGTTAAATTGTATTTTGCCTAACTTAAATTTCCTTAAAAATCTTTTCCCCAAAATGTGAATTATTTTTTGTGTTTCTTTCAGGTTCATTCATTTTCTAAAATTGTACTGTAGCTTTCTCTTTTTGAAAATGTTGACCTCTTTCTCATTAATTAAATAACATTTTTATATCTTAATTTAGACCTACTTCTTCTACTCTTTATTTCTCAGGATGAAGTGGCTCACACGCTTACAGAAAGCAGAGTATTGAAAAACACCAGACACCCTTTTTTAACAGTAAGTATTAGGAATTAGTTTTAAGTACATTAGCAGGCAATTTTCAACATGATGGGAATTCCATTTAGAACATAATTTAGAAACACATTTTGAAGTCGTTCTTGTGATGATTTGTAAACAAGCAGTAGCTATGTGGTCCTTATGATATCCTTTATCAGAATATGTATTTAAGAGATCAGAAATAAAATTCCTAATAATTTTTTACCATTTATCTGCACTGAAAACAAATTTTATTGTAGAATGTAACTGTTGTGCAATTTTTGTGATTTTTGTATATGAACAGTCTGTAATAAAAGTTACTGATTTCACATAGTGTCAAGTAAGTATTTTTTTACCAAGAAAACTTAATTAAGGATTCAATAAAATGATAAACTAATTGTTCAATATAAGTAGCCCATGGAGCAACAAAACTCAAACCTCATTACTTCATTAGAAAATATTTGCATTGTTTCATTGAGTTCAAAAGCTAACTGTTCTATTTTAAGATAGGGAAAAATTATTTTCTTTTTACATTAAAGTATCAAAATATAACATGGAAGCTTTCCTATTTAGAAAACGATAAACCGTTTAGAAAGCAGAGGATTGCATTTGTGTTGCTTGGCCAAAATATTCGTGGAAATTCAGTCAAGAGAAATGAGATCACCCAAAGTTAGTAGAAATAAGAGTGTAAAGGTAAGCAGGAGTAGGCGTAATTCCAATCAAATCATCCAACAATGTTACTGCAGTTGTATCTTTAAATCTTTCTGATATTATTAAACAAATATTTTAAGGAGACATGCAGTATTTAAGTCACATAAGTCTCATGATTTTGTTACGTGTACGTTTTGTTACATTTTGTTTCTTTTATGCCAAGCCTGCATCTGTAGATTGTCTTTGGTATAATTTTTCCCAGCAAAATCAAATCGACATTGATAAGTGAAAATTTTAATTAAGATAATAATACTTGTGACAATTTAAAAATCATATGTAAATAAATACATTAATTTGGCACTCTGTTTTTAAGATTGCATAGTATGTGAAACTAGAGAGTTCTTGCTTTGGAAATGAAAGCAGTCTGGAGGTTAAGATCATTTCTAAGATTTCGTTTGTGAGAAGTTCAAAAGAATATGGTAATCTCTTTCTTCATGGGCATTGTGGAAGTGGACATCATGAAACATGATGAGTGGCAATAGCTGGGACCATGTGTGGCAGTAAGAAATGCAGTATAAAATTGTGTATTTTAGTAACTGTTTAGTATTTTATTATAACAAGCATGATGTTTTCATATCAATGGCCATGTGGCAGAGATGAGGGAAGACATGAAGGCTTTTGTGTTGATTCATCTCAAGGTCCAGATAGGAAGTTACAGTTTTAATTGCTCTGAAAGTTCTCACCAAGTCAGAATTGTCTGCTTAAGGGGATAAAATGAAATTTTGTTACAGTTTAAGTGCAAGACGTTGGGTCAATACAAGATGATAATTGGTTTGGTTTTGCTGTTTTCTTTGCAAGTCCTTGAAATATTCCTTCCAGACAAAGGATCGTTTGTGTTTTGTGATGGAGTATGTTAACGGAGGAGAGGTAAGTTTAAAAAAGATGTTTTGCACTTGTAATGGTAATGCTATCACTGGACTACACTTAAAGGATATAGTTTTTCTTGCCTCTTTTGCTTTCTAGTATCTTTGAAGTTGTTTTTCTTTTTTTTTTTTTTTTTTTAATTTTTAAAACTATTTTACTTAAAAAATAAAAAAAGTCGACAAGTTCTATAACTGTGCTGTCAAAAGTAGTTCCTGGTCTTGAAAAATTAAATCGTGTCATGAAAGATAATTTTGTGGTAGAGAAATAATTACAAATAGCTTACTGTTTTTTCTTCAGGCATATTATAGCATGTTATGGCATGAAACGGTCGTAATCTAGTGCAAACAAGCAAAAATTATGTTGGCTAGTCATACTTTTGCCCTAATGTGAAATAGGTGCTCTCTTCTGTGCTATAGCCATTGTGAATACCTATGGGAAAAGAGTGGAGTGTTTGTATTTTTCATTACTTCCCCTTCACTTGCTGTGTACTCTGGAAATTTCAACTTAAGTGCTAAACTTCTTAGATGTCTTTAGCCTTTAAGCCATTGCTGTCCTCCAGCTGTTTGCTGAAGAATGGAATATCAAAAACTGTATATGTCAAATGGAATTAAAAAGAATTGCAATCAAAGAAGAGGGCTTTTTTCTACCTTTTAGGTGCTGTTTGCTATTCAGACTGTATCTCATTACACGAACTAGGGGTTTTTTCTTATTTTGTCTACTATGTGCTGTATAATAACATCAAAAGACTAAGTGTTTCCACTAGCTTTTTTTGTTAGAAAACTGTTTCTTCATTCAGGAATTGCTGAAGCCTGGTACCATGTTTTGCATTACACTTTTGTTGTGTTCTCCTACAATAAAACTATCTTCATCTATAATCCTAATGCCTGAGCACCCCCAGAGTCCCTGTCTTGCATCCATTGCTCTGGCAATTTCTTGGCCCAGCATGAGGCCCATTTACATCCTAACTTGTCCATGGCCGTCCTCCACCAGCCGTGTCTAAACGTGGTGCTGTAGGGCTCTCATGGGAGGATGGCTTGTTTGTCTCAATATGTATAAACTTGGCTTTGGACATCACAGGTGTTGAACTATTTTGGCTGGTTGAACTTTTATCAGTGCTATCTACAAGAAGTTTTAAAAGTAATGCCTTATAAACTAGCTAATTCTTTGTAGTGTTCTCTGTATAAGACCTTACTGCATTTATGTAATCGCAGGGGATGCACTTTGAAAGTAGGTTTTTAACATCAGCCCATCATTTAGGTATGTGTCTTTTTGAAAGATACCTTCCTGTCCTACTTGGGTGGAGAGCAGAGCCCACATTCCTGTCCTACTTGGGTGGAGAGCAGAGCCCACAGAGAATGTTTTCGGCTCCTTTCCTAAGATTGAAGATACTCTGGCACTGTGCTTTGATGAGATTTGTATCTTGCGTTCGTTTGTGCACCTTTGTGGCAACTGCTGCAAGCATCTTGTGTCATGGGTTTCTTGGTGGCAGCTTGCTTCTGCTTATTGGGATTTGAATGATTGCAATGTACTTTGCTGAGAGTGGCTCGCTTTTTTCCGGGTATGATGCTCTTGTTTGTCAGTGTTGTTCATGTTCTTTGCTGATGGTTCCCTAATTCAGTGAAGCTAACTGTAAATTTGCCACAGTGGGAAATAATGGCCTTTCAGAGTAAACAGTTTTCTTTTGATTTGCTTATGTGCTTCTCTGACTCGAGATCTGGATAGTAAGTTGGACAAACAGACCTTTTAATAGGAAAATCTATAATCTTACCAAATTTTCCAGTGAATTTCAGACTTTAGTCACCGTCTGCTAAGAAATACAAAGGACTTAATATTTGTAAAAATAGCCTTGTTAATTCTGAACTACTGAAAGTAAGTTGCACAAAGTTTAGCCAGCATTTTAGCCATTTGTAAGCACATCTCCTATACGGTACACAGACCGTTTGCTGCTTCTCTCTACTGTTCTCTCTCTGTTACAGGGAAGTTTCATTTCCTTACAATGGTTTCTCACTGTTGAAGGTGTTGAAAACTCATCTTTTAATTATATCCTTCCAGTGGGAAACTGACTGTAGCAGTACCACGTTGCTTTTGATTCTCTCCAGAGCTGTACTACCTTCAATGTGTTTCTATTTAAAATTCCTTTAGATTAAAGATTTCTTTTTATTTAAACAGTTGTGCCTGTGTCAATTGCTTGGGAGCTTTCATGGATTATGTCTTTCAGGAGCACATTACCTGAACAGTCCTCTGAATGAAGGAGCTTTTGCAATTTATATCCGTATTCTTGACTCTCACCCAAATGAAAGCAAGAAAACGCCACAACTTAGGCTTCTGCCCTACTGCAGTAGTAAAAAGTGTAGTCGGTACTAGGAGTCTTCAGTTCCACTTCCGATGGTTAGGGAGGAAAACAGTCAAGGAAGGAGTCACTGAATTTAATTCTGGAGGAGAAGAAACTGTGAAAATGATTCTAAACAAGAATCCTCTCTGCCTGTTAAAAATCTAGATCCATGTTGAATTGAATATCCTGTCAGAATAGTAGCAATTTATCTTTGCCTTACCTTGTCCGCGTAACTTCAAATCAGTTAGGCTCAGTTAATAAGGGAACATGTTGTTATGAAAATATAGATGCATCAGTTTTACTGGTCTATGTGTGTGCTTTTTTACAGTGTATGAAGTATTACCGTATCAAATTATCTTTTGCCCTCCTTTAAAAGTAAAACAGAAAGTGTAATTCTGTAGCTAAATATACTAAATCAAAACACTAGAGGAATTTTTCAAGCAAATTATTGAGATGGAAATATTCAATATGTTTTCCTTATACTGACAACTTCTACAGTTAATTTTCTGCTGCGTAAGGGCCCAATCTTGATCTTTATTGTAGACTGAAAGCTTAAATTTTTCTTTTTTTAGTGTTGCTGTTGGACTCTGTGGATGAAATGTTTAGCAATATCCATTGATAATAAACTGTGTTGCAGTATAGAGCTAGAAGTATACTTCTAACATTGTGATTGCTTCTCAATACTTTTGTGATACTGAAGGAATTACATTAAAGTATCATTAAGGCATTAAAATTTGATTTTAGGAAAAAAATATTCATCTGGCTTAATTCCATTATTAAGACTTTGAAATGGCCTTTTTTATGAGTGTGTGGTAAAAAAGTACCTGCAGTATTGCATGATAAACTGAGTTCTTTTCTTTGGTTTAAAATATAGAATATTAATGTAAATATTTTTAAATGAGTAAAACTATCAGTACTTACAGACAAACATAGGCCTTTTTTAAAGAAGAGAAAACCCCTTCTTTTTTGTACATTTTTTTGCTGTCCTTGTCAACATTTTGAAAAAAATGTATAAGGCTATATCGATGGTTTCCCTGCTAGTATTGATTGCTCACTCTTCCTTTTGTAACCCCTATAATTTTGAGTACTATGTGATTGCAGTATGTCAGTGGTACATCACAGTGTTCCCCCAACTTCCAGGCCACACAGAATGGTATAAACTGTGGTTTAAAAAATGATGTTCTAAGAATGGCTCTTTATTGTTGGAGAATACTTTTGGAGTATATGTTTCCCATTTTTTATTTCCCCTATTTTGCTTTAAAGGTTGAAGAGCTTTAGGAATGTAATCTATTACATACATGACTCTACAGAGTACGCTGATTCAGCTGACTAATAAGTTGATTAACTTTCTTGCTTTGCACTTTCAGGATAATTCCAAATTCCATACTCTGTAACAAACTTAATTGGTAATTATCTGTATAATAAAATTAGACTCTAAAATTTGTTCAGATGGTTTCTCCACTCCAGAATTCTGATTCTCTATTCGGCTTGGCATTTTTTTTTTCCACAGCTCTCACTTCAGTTCATTAGGCAAGAGAAAACTAAATGGTTTGTTGTAATTGAACAAGTGCTATTACTGTCTAGAAAAAAAGACAGAGGATTTACATACAACCTACCTAATGAAAAATAACTTAATATTGTTATAAGCTTTGTTATTTTTATCTCTATTGTGTCCTGTTTTGTTTTTGTAAACTGTAAGTAAATGAGGGAATGTTACTTAGCTTAAAATTATGATAGTCCAAGATAAGGGTGCTATATTTCTTAGGGTATATAGTGTGCCTAGAAGCAGTATATATTCTGAAACAATAAACAAATAATTCAAAATTTCAAGGCTCCTACTGAAAATGCTTTGCAAGAATCCAATCAACAGTCCGATATAAAATGTGTTTAACTCTGCAGAGCTGAGCAAACCCAATGTACAACTGCAAGGGCCAGTCATACAACTTTCAACATGCTAAGTAGGTCACTAGCATGTGTGCAAATTTAACATATTGATTGATATAAGTTGTGTCTTTTATATATTTGGCTTGCTTGGATCTGTAGTTGAATATACTTTTATGTTTGATCTTTGATTTTATTTGTTAAAATTTTTCCATTAAAGTTTTTATTAGGAAAAAGCCCTATGGCACCATTGTTGTTCTGTTTTTAAATAAAGACATACCAGGAAATTTATAGCTCCATTCCTCACTGTAACTATAGCACCCTCATGTATGCCATAAAAAATGTTATGTGCAAAATGTCTTTCTTTGTGCCAAAGCTATTTCTATTGCAATTCCAATGGCTTTATAGCACATATTTAATAACTGTAAATCAGTAAATAGTGAAAATGTTTGAAGCTTTTTTCATAACTTTCCATCATATTCCTTCTTTTCCTTCACTGACTTAATAAATCTAATCTTCATGTTATGACAATTGTAAATTGAGCCTGGTGAGATTATTTTTCCAAAATCGTGAACCAACTAAATAATTAGCTGAAAATAATGCTATAATCTCACTGAATTTTATTTTTTTCTATTACAATTTTAAAATTTGCTTTAGTCTCTTTAGCATATGTCTGAGTGTATGAATTCCCTTTAACATGTATTTCTATATTTAACTGTACATTCTTCATTCAAAGCTAGCACGTATGATGACAACTCTGTTAAGTGCTATAATAAGAAGAATGTTTATGAACAGTGACTGTAGTGTCATACAGAACATTAAAATAAACTGACCTGGGAACTTAGTGTCTTTGGTAAACAGAACTGTTGCTAGCTGTTTCTAGCTGGTCATTTTACTTTGAAGTTAGTATTTTTAATTAATACCAAGAACATTTTGTTGGAAACAAATATTAAAGAAAATACATTTTTGTTATGTTAACTTGTGAGGTTATCAACTCTCAGATTCAAATTGGGACACTTTTTACAGAAACTAATACATCTGTTGCTGACAACTATCCTGAGGTTCTAGAGTTTTCTAAGACTTTGCTACTCAGCCGCTGAATTAGTCTCTTTCATACAGAAAATTGCAGTGGCCCTTTTGCACAGATACGAATGTAGAGCTAACTGGAGGTTATATTATACATTTTTGGAATGTGTTTGCTGTTTGTACATATTAAAAAGTGATCTGAAAGTTGCCCTTTATTTTGAATGATTCTGAAAACTCTTAAAAATGAGTGACATTAGCTCATTATTTATGAAGGAGACCACCAAACAGACATAAATGCATAAATGACAGAAATTTTGTATTTTGCTTTATTTGGATGAAGATCTACTTAGTGGTGCTTGTTTTCTTTTTAAATCTTGCAAAAATGTGTGGAAAAGACCCCACGAATTGAGAAATGTATTTATTATTTTCCCAGTTTTATAATATGTGAGGCCCTTCATGAAGGCGGACTTAGTTGCTTAGTCTGTATGGGTCCCGTGTTTGCGTTGTCAATTAAGCAGTCGTCAGTACAGAAAGCAGGTTACTACAGGGAGGGCTGGTGTCACCACCAGGGATTGGTGCTTGAACAGGGAAACGAACAGCAGGAGCAATTGAAATACCTACAAAATAATGATCCTCCTTGTCACGCAGGTATTCTGTTTTTATACAGGGTGTTCTGAAAATTCAAAAAGGAATTGAAAGGGGAATGCAGATACAATGAACAAAATTTAAATATTCTCTTTAAATCAGACTGCAGTTACTGTTTTCTGAGCAGTCTCTGCTTATACAAATGCATGCTGCCAAAAGGCTCAGTTTAGTGGGAAGTTTGTTTAGGTTCAGAATAAAGTAATACACCTTTTTTGAAGTACAACTGTCAGGAAAGCAGTTGACTTCTAGTTTATAGGATTGACTTTTTAATTACATTTTGAAAAGTCCACATGCTGAAAATAGCTGTAGTAATTATTACACTGTTCTGTGCCGTGTGAGTAGTGTAGATTTCCTACAGGTGTAAAGTCAGATGAGATAAAGACAGATTAAGCACATTGTTTTTTCTGGTTGATTGTTTCTCTGTTTCCTTTTTTTATACCTACCCTGCCGTTTTGGAATTCTCATCAAATTGATATTTTAGCAATGAAAATAAAAAGCCCATATTATTGTTATGGATTTCCTTGTCTATGTTTAAGTTATAAATGATCCCATTTTCTGTATTTCTGTTCTGTTGATTGTTAGCTCTTGTAGTAAAACCAGAAACATTGTAACTTGAAGGAGTAAGGCAGGTGGCCCGCTTGGTCTTAAGCAGAATACAGAAACATACTTGCTTATCTTTACTTGAGGACTTTCCCAAGCTTTTTTAACACAGTAAATAAAACTAACAATTTTTGAGAGTGCTTGAATTAAATGGCCAAATTCTGCTTTTCCAGTTGTCATTCCAGGTTCTGAGGGTAATGTTTTATCCAATAAGATACTGACAACCTTACAGAACTTTACCATATGCTTTTTCATCGCAGCTGAAGTTACTGGAAATACTTAATGACTAATATGTTTCACTGAAAGGCTTAAGTTAAAAAGTGTCTGCAAAGTGCTGTTACTTGTATTAAAGAAGAGACAAAACCCCAAAGAGATGCTTACATTGTAGCAAAGAAATACACTAAATAAATAGATTTGGTTTTATAAGCCCTAAGCAGTTGTTGGTTTGCTGTTTCTAGTGACTGATATTGCTAGCAGTATGAATGTGCTGTTTTTGTAAAATGCCAGTTCACCTGTTCAGTGGAAGTCTACAGAAGAACTAGACTTTTTTCAGTTCTAAGGAAAGTTATTAAATTACTGAAAAACTTAAGGTGGAACCAGAATCTGGGGATGCTAGTGATATTTATCAGTGGCTTAAAATAAAAATCCACAGAAGTGGTGGAGGGAGAAGTACAGACTGCTGCTGCTGCATACTTTTTTTTTTTTCTTTCTTCGGTAACTGAAGGTTAAATGAGTAGCAAGCAGAATGCCTTAAACAAGATTGGTATATTGATTAAAACGCTGATTTAACAGCTCGCTTTCTCCCTTTGGAAACCTGGAAAAGATAAGCCAGCTGCTGTCTAAGAGTGCTGAGTGTCCACTGAGAGTACACTATCTATCATCACAATATGGTGATGAGAGGTGTTTTATGTTTGTGTTAATTTCCCCCACTAAATCAGTAATTATTACAATCCTGTCCCTGCTGTTTACCCTGCAGCTGTTTTTCCATTTGTCGAGAGAACGGGTGTTCTCAGAGGACCGCACACGCTTCTATGGTGCAGAAATTGTCTCTGCCCTGGACTATCTGCATTCTGGGAAGATTGTGTACCGTGATCTCAAGGTAAAAAAAGAAAAAAAAAAAAAGTAATCAAAATTTTGTTTTTGCAGAGACTATTGGGACAAACACAAAGTAATTATAAAGTTGCACTATTCAGAGCTAATGGGGAAAAAAAAATCTGTGCTCAGTTTAAAGTTCTGTGTGTACTGAAGGAAGACATTTGATACAGTAATCTATAGATGGGTGTACATTACTTGACTCTGACTTGATTAAAAAAAGAAACAGCATACCTTAGTAATAGCACTTGAAGGAGATTTAAACTTCTGATCCTTTTTTTTCTTTTTCCACTCATTACTTATAATTTAACTTGAATTTCAACACATATCTCAAATATAATTCTCAATGTCCTCAAACAAGGGAAATGGGGAATTGGGGCAATGTGACCACATTCTGTTTATTTCATCAAAGACTTATGTTCTTGTATGATTTGAAAACATTTAAAACAATTCAGAATACTTTAATAGGAAGAGAATTTTAGCCTTAATTTAAAAATTATTTTGTCTTTTGTATCTTGGGAAAGATTCATAATACTGGAATGTAGTTTGTCTTAGATTTGCTTGTGTATACAGTTGTGTATCCTCTTGTTGCCTGAAACTCCAGGTACTCTGAGACACAGCATGACCATGTTATATGGAAAATAAGCTCTGCTTTCAACAGGAACATGTTCTGATTTATGTGGGAGGAACCTCTAAATTCAATGACGAGACTATTTTATTTCTGTGACCAGCCTTTAATTCCTTGTATGGGAAATTGTTATTTTCCATTATACATGCACACTAGTGGAGTTCATTAATGGACTCCTTTGTACAGTAACTGAGAAGGAGGCAATGTTAGGCAAGTTCTGCTCAGGGAGGCAGACAGAATACAGAATACCAGGTTACCTGTTTGTAGCAGAATCTGTTGTAACAATGTGAAATGATGTGACATCTTGGAAAAATCTGGAATTGTCTGGTCAAGGGATGATATGTCATGATTTTTGATTTAAATTCTAAATAATAAGGAAAGTGGAATATTAAGTCATTAATCTTCCATTGCTGATGTCCTCTACTTTGCATCTTCTCTGTATGACACTGTTAGACTCAACAGGAAATATATAACAGGGTCTGGAGCACCTCCCTGATGAGGGCAGGCTGAGAGAGTTGGGGTTGTTCAGCCCAGAGAAGGAGAAGGCTCTGGGGAGACCTTATAGCGGCCTGCCAGTGCTTAAAGGGGGCCCACAGGGAAGGTGGGGAGGGACTCTCTGTCAGGGGGTGTAGTGATAGGGAGAGGGGTAATGGTTTTAAACTGAAAGAGGGTAGATTTAGATCAGATATGAGGAAGAAATTCTTTACTGTGAGGGTGGTGAGACCCTGGCCCAGGGTGCCCAGAGCAGCTGTGGCTGCCCCCTCCCTGGAAGGGTTCAAGGCCAGGCTGGACGGGGCTGGGAGCACCCTGGGCTGGGGGAAGGGGGCCCTGCCCATATCAGGTGGCTTGGAACTAGATGGTCTTTAAGGTCCCTTCCAACCCAAACCATTCTATGATTCTATGATATACCTTTAAATTGTATTTCAGGCTTTATGCAGACTTAGGAAGACAGGGCTATGATTATTCTTTGTTGGTATTTTCACTACAGACCTTATAATTAGAAAAAAGTGCCTTTTTCTGTTGAAAAAAGTTGTTCAGAAGTATGTTTTACTTGTTTTTTACTTCTGTCTGTATTTAAAGTATTGCTAATAAAAGACTTTTGGGAAAGTGATGTTAGCTGTGATTTTGAGATAGTCCACATTAGATATTGCAGTAGTTTTTATTCCCGTTCTTTAAATACTTCATAACAGACTATATTCTGTTTTTATATTTCACTGTAAGAATCATGTATTTAAAAAGCAATGCAAAGCATGCAGAGGTACGCATACACAATTCAAGAACTTTAAAAGTATACAAGGAGGAATTAACCTCAGGGTTTTGTTTTTATCAGTAGCCTCTCTACCCCCACTTTTGTCTGTTATTGAAAAGGTTGTGGAGGATGCAGATACTTTAAGGATTTTCATATACAGACTTTTTCATGACAGTATAGTAAGTAAAATGCATCTTGATAAGTGAAGGTCATGTTACAGCAAAGGAAACCCTATGAAGTCTTACCAAATGACAGCCATGATTGTAACCTTGAATTATTTGATTATATCTTGAGAATATTTAGAAAATTATTTTGTTTTCATTCTGTGGAAGATGCACTAAATTTATAAAACTTCAGAATGAAAGGTCACACTTTGAATGACCTGGGATTTACTACTGTAAACTGTATTAAAGTATTAAATAATTATTTAAAATGTATAACAGTAGGCACTGTTAAATGCTGTAATATAATAGATGCTGGTGATTTTTTTTTATTATTATTACAAACAAATTACATTCTGTTGCAAGCAAAAACTGTATCTTTTTTACAAAATTGATGCAATGCATCAGCCTGTCCTGTTAAGAAATACTAAGGGAACATTTTTTTCCCCAACACACAGTTAGAAAATCTAATGTTGGATAAAGATGGACACATAAAAATTACAGATTTTGGACTTTGCAAAGAAGGAATCACAGACGCAGCAACTATGAAAACATTCTGTGGTACTCCAGAATACCTGGCACCCGAGGTATGATTTAGTATATATTCTTCTAATACAGTATAAAATGTTTATTTTTCATTTAATTTTAGACTGTGATGTTTGTATGGTGAAAACTGTTCATTGTAGTGGAGAACTGACGGTCTGCCTGATTAATACTATGCAGTTGTTACTTAGAATTGTATGTGATACTACTCTTTGTGGGGATTGTACGTATATTGATGCTGTGCTTCTTACTGTTTAAAAAGGCCTCTAACGTGCATTTTTCTTCTCACGTTTGCCTGCCTCTGTTAAAGTTTTTATCTTCCAATGATTTCTTCAAAAATAATCTTCCATCTGTCTGTCACTTGGAACATAATCCTGCTTAACTGAGCTGTACAACTAACATTTATATAGCCTCAGTGGAGGCAAGGGGGAATAGGAAGGTACTGTGTTTGCTGGGTTTTAGCTGAACTCCCCAGTTGTAGGGAGAGGGAGTTGAGGATGTAGATATTTCTACTAAAAACTGTTGAGTGTATCAACCTCAGAACTGGTTAGGTGGGCACCAGAATGTATCTGTTTCCTAGTATGTAAGCAGAAGTGACATTTCAGAGTATGCCACCCCGTATTTACCATTAGCTAGCACTTGGAGTGCCAAACATTATACTTCTCAAGGTTGGTAGAAAGATGGACACAAGGACTTTGTTTTGGTTCCCCTCGCAACTCTGGTTTGGCCATTTGAGAATCTGTTGTGGAAGCTCATGTCACCCAAATGATCTGCTCCAGTATTAGTGCTGAGAGGTCTGCCACTGATGCCTAATGAAAAAAAGCAAGGGAAGCACTCTCCAAACTTTTTTTTTTTTTTTTTGTCCTGTCTGGCTTCAGTCAACAGTACTGATTGTGGTGCTTGGAAATGGTGTTCTGTCTCCCCCTGGGGTTGCCAAACACACCTCCAGTATTGACATGAAAGACAGCATTATTTTTTTACTTAAGGCCAAGGGTTCTGTGTATGCTGAATTAACCCTTGTCAGCATTCAAGATTCCTAAGTGGCATAGTATGCACCTGATACCGAGACAACTTTCTAGTCAACCTAAAAGGGCTTTATAAGGCCCTTCAAACATACCATTTGTTTTAAGAAGGATTCTTCAAGTGATTTCCCACCTCTTGCAGCAGTTCGGCACCACCAGAAAGTCTCTGTTACATACCATCTTTGAATAAGAATGTGCCTTAGTTTGAAGGGACAGGAGGTGAGGAGGGACTGATTTAGCATAGCTCTTTACCGTCTTATTTTCAGGAATACTGAATCCTGAGTAGCAGCAACAGGTCCTGGAGCCTATTTCAACAAGCAAGTTTAGTTTGCCTTTCATTTTTCATTCTGAACCTTACAATTACGGTATGTCAAGGAAACTGGTACGCATCACCTTCTGGATACTGCTGGCTGGAAATGAGGATTTTGTGATGGTCAGGTTTGAGAGTCTGTCTAAATCTCTTAAAGCAAATTTGAAGTCTCCTCCAGTTTGCACCCAGGAAGGAATTTGAAACTGCTATTAGTTGGTTATAAGTTAATATGGTATGTAGAGTTAATGAAACCATTTTGGGTCATAGCAAGATCTTTTGATACATTCCTTTTCTCCAATTATAAAGGAAACATCAGTATTCGTAGGAGCTGCTGACTTTCTCTTCATCCATCTGCTTTCATCTTCTTTGCTTCTTTCAGCAGTGAAGAGAAATCTGAGGAGTTGTGCCCTCACACTGCAGGTTTGAAGTACCTAAATAATTTTGGTTGGTTAAGTGTTCATTTCAGCTGTGTGGTGAGTCACCAGCTGCTCTAGCTATGAAGACAAACTCAATGATACCTGGTCTCCTTTGCAGAATCCCATCTCATAGATTTCAAGGAAGACTTAGATGCAGATTGTTGCTATCCTCTTTGGCAATTTCTGAAATCTCCTTTGTGTTTAGTACAGGGACACTCAGCAGTTATCTACATTTAAGGATTCCAGAATTATTCTTAGCCTGCTTTGAATCTTTTATGGCTACTTAGAAGTTGCAGATCTGCCTGTTTGGCGTGGTACAGTGGCCACTTTTCTTGTGTTCCACACCCAGAATCTGTTCCAGCAACAAGAACACAAGGGATGATATTGTCATCACTGGCATAGACTACAGGTGTCGTTGCCAGCATTTACCCCCTCATTGTCTTCTTGTCAGCAGTCTTGAAAACATTTTCAAAGAGTGCAAATACCCCGTTCAGTTGCTTTCATCTGCTTCTCCATCTCTCACTTTTGGAAACATGTTAGCTGTCTTCCGTCGAACTTGGCAAGAGATCATTCTGGGTTTTAGACACCACAAGTTACTTGATCCAGTTTGCCTTTCTGTTCTCTAGCAGTCCCACTCCTCTCCTCCACCTCCCATTATGAGTATTTTTGGACACCCACCCTGTACAAATCTGTCATGAAGGAAATTGACTCTTCATTAACCCTGGGAACCACAGAACTCATTCCCTTTTACTTCAGAGATAAAGGGTTTAGGGCAAGCAACCTAGACAGGTTGCTGATACAACGTAAGAAGACTCAACACCTTAATTCACACATTCTTCTTTAAAATGGTGAGATAAGCAGTACACGGACACGATTGCAAAAACCAAACTTTCCCTTCATACTCTTTGCTGCTACAATAGTGCTTCCCAGTGCATTGGCTGGATATTTGCTCACCTGAGACAACTGTATCTATTTTTATACCTGGGACATCTGACTGATGAAAGGACCATCAAGTAACTGGGTCCTTAACATGCGTGTGTCAGAGAATGAGTGTGCAAATGTCACTTCTTGTTTCAGTTCAGGCCACAGAAATCATTACCAGATGCCAAAGACTTACAACCTTTTAACAAATTGCAGATCATGAGAACCTAATGTTACAGCTGGACTTTAATCCTGTTACCATGGTGAATTCCTGCTTGTTTATCCCAAGACAAATGGCAGCATATACTTATGTTTTGCCTGTTCATGGTAAGTGTGAAGGTAGATACCTTTTAGCCTTTCTTTAGAAGCAAGATGTTCTGCAGTTATGTGGAGAAATCCATTCAGCACCTGTTCTTTTAATAATACCCTCGCATCCTCCTCTTTGATCTAGGTCAGTTGTGATGGACGCATCCCTTCTGCAGGCCTTTTGGTTCAGTTTCTCATGTACTTGTTGGCTGCTGGTAGAGGACACTAGGACAGTGTACTGTGTAACACACAGGGTTGGCCTGAGGTTGCTGTCTACCAGCCAGGAAGCAGTTGACCCAGGAACCGTGCACTGGCAGGAATCTATACCTAGCCTCCGAACTGACTTAATATTTTCTTTTTTATTTAATTCAGTATTTTGGATTCAGTTCCAACCAAGAACTTGAGCTTGGTTCTCCGAATGCTTTTTGGACCGTTGCTTGAAGCATAGAGTCCTGCTCGCTATTCCATCTTTTTGCAAAAAACAGATTGCATTTGCTTCCAACAGGAAAACAAGGAATTAGCTAAGGCAGGGGAAAGTGGATTTTCTCCTTGCATGGCATTCTTTCCAGTGAAGGTGTCCTTATGGATCCATATATAATTATTTCCCAAGGCGATTTCAGAATTATTCTTAATCAGAAAATAAGCATACCTGTTGCTGTGTTTTCCCCGCAAACCTTATGTTTCTGAGATCAAAGTAGTCCTTCCCATCCTCTGTTGAAAAGGCTCTTTCATCTCACATTGATAGGGCCTGCCCTTTGATATAGGACGTGAAACCGACTGTGTTGGTATCTGGCAGATCCAGGAAAATGCCCCTGTCCATGCAAAGATCAAATAGATGGTGGGCCACAGGAAAAAAAACATCATGAGATTCCTAGGTTGGAGCTAGAGTTACTTTTCTGGACTGTCACTGATTTCTGGTTTGTGGCACCCACCTGGAAGTTTATGTGTACCTTCACCAAGCACTGTGCTGTTATAGGGGTATGCAGGGCTTCCACCTAGGTGGTCCACAGGTATATTCCCTTCCTGTTGTCCTCTCCTAGTCTTTCCCCGTTACCTAATGCCAGTATTCTACAGTTAAAAGAAAACAGATAGCATCGACTGTACTTGTTTTACATAGTTGTGTGCCAGAAATAAAAGATTGCAGGGTATGAATATGTCCTTCAGGAAGAAAATAGTTGCCACTGTCAAAGAACAGGGCTTGTATATGTTTACAGTACAGATACACATTTTGGTCACAATTGTTGAAGAAAAAGTAACTTTTTATTTGTAAAATTATATAGTCTTTTGATAATAATTTGGTTATCTGAGAAATAGTGAAATTCCTTTATCAACTGCACTAGAACTAATGCAAGCCTCATTATTTTTTTTTTAAGTGTAGCCGTAATATTTCTCTCTGCTTTAAGAACCTGTGGTACTCCTCGTTTGAGAGGTATAAAATATTTTATAATTTGTCATTCCTTAGTAGATTTTCAGGAAGAGGAGACTGATTCTTAGGAGTCTGTTTCCATTGATATCCTTCAAAGTAAGCTGTCACATTAGAGATCATTGTGGTGTCAGAGAATAAACATAGATCCAATGAGAAAAAGGTGAATTGTGATTCCATTTAGGAAGGACATGTATTCTGAAAAAAATCAAGAAAAAACCCCACAAAATGTTTCCAGTTCTGCAGTGGCAAAGGCAGGACAGGACCATATGTCTTTTCCAGACAGTATCACTTGTTTAGTAAAGAAGGAATAAAACTGAGACGGTACTTGTAAATATACCTGTGAGACATTTAAAAGCAGTTTAGATTTTGATAGTTTTCAGTTGACTGTCAAGGATCAAAGAGCTGCAAATAAAGAAACAGGACTCGACAGGCTTTCTTTAATATAACATTCAGGAAATGAAGCTACTTGGGCAGAGAAATTAAAGTTCTTGCATCTCTGATCATTTATAAGGGTAATTTCGTACATGAGATTGCAATTTCTGGCTCTGCATGTCGGTTCAAGTGTTCAGGACTAAGTGCGCAGTCTTAGTACCACAGCAACTGCCCTACTATAACTAAGTTTTGGTGTCACGAGAGACACAAG